ATTTTCTTCCTTATCAAAGGTAATATAGGGATGAGTAATTTGTTATTCTTTTTGGGGTCTTAAGCAACCTGGAGTTAAGGGTGCTTCAGGGTTCAAAGTTTTAGGGTTTGGTTTTGTCTAAGGTGCAGTCCAGGGTTTGCATTTCAGGGTTAAGAACCCTAAACCCTAAACCCTAAACCCTAAACCCTAAACCCTAAACCCTAGACCAATTTGCGGAAGAGGTTTTGCGCTTCGGGTTTGAGGGCTGCGAGGGAAACATTTTTTGCAAGCTTGAGGGGCTGGATGATGTGGGGTTTAGGGTTTAGGGTTTAGGGTTTAGGGTTTAGGGTTTGGGGTTTAGGGTTTAGGGTTGTTGGAGCTCCCGGCTCAGGCTTTCGGCCGAGGGTTGCGGGCTGTGTTTTCATTGTATCATTGCCCACTCTACAAACAAGAAGGCGCTTTCTACCCCAAGCCCAAAGCCGGAAGCCCTAAACCCTAAACCCTATACACTGTGAACCCTGGGCGTCAACACCGACTCTTTCCTTCCCCCATCTTGAGCTGAAGCTCTGTACAAGACTCCAAAGCCACACCAAGTCACCAAGCTCACAAAGCTCTTGAGCCCTAAATTCCAGACACCAAAAGATTTGAAGGGAAAATCCTAAAACCCCAAACCCTGAAACAAAAAAGAAAACAAAAAGATATCCCGAAAGTTCGAAACCCGTCTGAGGTCGAAATCTTCGGCCTGAAGGCTCCCCTCACCTCGGCCGAGGCCACACAGCCCCCTGGCTGCATTTAGAGGTTGCGGTCCTGTAAACCCTATACCATAGAAGCCCTAAACCCTAAAGCCTAAACCCTAAAGTTAGGCTAAAGGAGCTTGGGGTTTGGTGTTTAGACTTTGGGGTTTGTGGTATGGCTCCTTTGTTGACATTGACCCACCATAATTATAACCTTATTCTAGACACCCTGAACGCCCCAGATGGGTGGTACTTCAAACGAGGACCCCTTCAGAAGTACGGCACCCTTAAAAGCAGGATTCCAAAAAGGACCCTCATTTAGAGCTGTACCGATATACCCTGAGCCCCTACACCCTGCAACCAGCTCAACGTACATACGTACAAGCCTTGCGCCCACCAAAGCCCCGTGTCGACATAATTTGATAGATAGGTCGATAGACGTAGCCACAGAGGAAAACAGACACTTCACAACCTAAGTCCTCGACCCTCGGCCCTAAACTCTAGACCCTTAGCCTGAGCCTCACCCCCGCCCCCGCTATACACACGCAAAAAAAGAAAAGTTCTTCCTGAATACATATATATATATATGTGTATGCATATATATATAGACACATTCTCACATATATATATATATAACACGTTTCAACACATTATGATCATGAACCAACATAGAGTAAAGATTCAACAACCATTCTTCATAAGGCCAATCCCCTCCAGCCCAGTAGCCCTAAACCCTCAACCCTAAACCCTAAACCCTAAACCCCTTGCTGGTTCCTTTGCGAAGCCCAGGTCTGGGAAGGCAACGCCGCTTCCAGCACCCATCTCGTGCTGCCCTCCGGGGGGTGAGACCTTTGGGGGTTTCCGAACATGAGGGTGCTCCTTTGGGCATAGGGCTATACTAAGGCTAAACTGCCTAAGTTTAGAATTCCGGGTATGATGCCCCCTAAACCCTTGCCCTAAACCCTAAACCGCTAAATTTGGAAGCTTGCCTGCGGTGTGACAGGGCGCGCATACAGGCTTGTCGGGTGAGAGCCAGGGTCCAGGAATTTGAGGAAGGACTCAGCTCCTACAGGTTAGGTTTGGGATCCGGTCCCCGAAGCCCCAAACCCTCAACCCAGGAGTTTAGGGTTTTAGGGTTTTGGGGTTTTGGGGTTTAGGGTTTTAGGGTTTTAGGTTTTTAGGCTTTTAGGGTTTTAGGGTTTTAGGGTTTCGGGCCCAGGAGACCTTAAACTTCTGAAGCTTCGTCCGCAAAGCGGGCCATTTGAGGCGTCCTCTGGCGGGGGATGGCTCTGCTTCGCTACATGCAGCGATGCTGAAGGCCTTGGGGTGTGTAGGATTTGTTTGTGTTTAGGGTTTAGGGTCTAGGGTTTAGGGTTTAGGGTTTAGGGTTTAGGGTTTAGGGTTTAGGGTTTAGGGTTTAGGGTTTAGGGTTTAGGGTTTAGGGTTCAGGGTTCAGGGTTAAGGGTTTAGGGTTTAGGGTTTAGGGTTTAGGGTGCATCAGGGATGTGGCATATGCTGGCTGGTTCGTGTCCCGCTTGCCCCAAGTGAGTTGTCAACACAATACAGCATGATCGCGACAAACTCGGCTAGAAGATGTAGCCCTAAACCCTAAACCCTAAACCCTAAACCCCAAACCCCAAACCCCAAACCCCAAACCCCAAACCCAAACCCCAAGCCCCCAACCCCAAACCCCAAACCCCAAACCCCAACCCCAACCCCAAACCCCAAACCCCAAACCCCAAACCCCAAACCCCAAACCCCAAACCCCAAACCCCAAACCCCAAACCCCAAACCCCAAACCCCAAACCCTAAACCCTAAACCCTAAACCCTAGACCCCAAACCCTAACCAGCCGTGTGGGTTGACTCTTTGAAGAGATAGCATGCGGCTGGGCTTGTCATGTCACGCTCGTTTTGCGCCATCATCTGCACCAGGCGTACCCAGGGTTCAGTGGACCCATGCTGCCATAATCGATGTCAGGTGAAGCCGCGCATTGACATGCGCCAAGCCTGGTCTATTTCCGTCAAGTGAGCATGGCGGGATGGAGGTAGTTTTGAGGATAGAGCTGCGAGAATGATGACAGACCTTAAACCCTCGACCCTAAGCCCTCCATTCTCAACCTTACCTAACGTCCCCAAACCGCCCTTAAGACAAATCTCACTTGCCCAGTATGATCCCTTCAAGTGGAGTCAGTAATCTTTAGCCAATAGGGTTCCTTAAAGTGGTATAGAGAGGGACATGAGGTACCTGATTCCTCAGTTCCCACAATCCTAAACCCTCAACGCTAAACCCTAAACCTTAAGCCTTAAATCTTAAACCCTAAACCCTAAACCCTAGGCATTCGGGCGTTCCCTATAGGACTTGGTTACGCAGCCTTTCGGGGCAAAGGTGAACCCTATGTAGACTTCCAAGTGGCCTGAACCCTACACTGTAAGCATCTGTAAGCCCTAACTAAACCCTAAACCCTAAACTCTAAATCCTAAACCCTAAACCCTATCCCTAAGCGCGACGTAGGGCTCAGGGCTTCGGGTTTTGAAGTGGTGGATGGGACTCCTGTGGCCCGTAGAAGGCGCCAACCAAAGACACAAAACTCAGAGCGAAGAGGGACTGAGCTGGGCCAAGCGTGCGGGCAAGCTCCTCCACAAATCCAAAAGAGTCGATAGAGTTCAGGATTTAGGGTTTATGGAGTTTAGGTTCAAGGTTTAGGGGTTTAGGGTTTATCGGATTTAGGGGTTCAGGGTTTAGGTTCCCGCAAACTTTAGTACTTAGAACCCTAAACCCTAAACCCTAAACCCTAAACCCTAAACCCTAAACCCTAAACCCTAAACCCTGCAAACCCTAAAGGGAACTCTATAGGGTGATCTCCCCAAGCGGCACCCTCTGCCTGGCTCAGCCCCAAGAAAACGGACTGGTGGGGGGGAGGTCTGAGGCCCATCACGACTCGCACATTGTAGCGTATGTATGTATATATCTGTATCTATATCTATATCTATTTCTATTTCTATATCTATATCTATATCTATATCTATATATATATATATGCATACGTGAGTATGTTTTGAAAGATTGCGATTAGGGATTAGGAGAGTCCAAGAAGGCTTAGACCATAGGCTGGTGGCTCAGCAAAAGGAACACCCCAAACCCTAAACCCTAAACCCTAACCCTAAACCCTAAACCCCAAAACCCTAAACCCTAAACCCTAAACCGTTGGATTCGAAGAGTCCGTTGAACGGGCCGCCCCCGAGCCAGTTGATGGTTACAGCCGCGGAACCAAAGCAGGGTTTAGGGTTTGGGGTTTAGGGTTTAGGGTTTAGGGTTTAGGGTTTAGGGTTTAGGGTTGGGGTGTAAGGGCTTGTCCCCAAACCCTAAGCTTTCATGAAGCACCCCTAATCCCCTTGATCAGTGTTGGGGGTGTCAGGGATGCATGTGTATGGGTTTAGGGTTTAGGATTTAGAGTGTGGGGTTTAGGGTTTTGGGTTTAGGACTTAGAGTGTGGGGTCTAGGGCTCAGGGTTTAGGACTTGCAGTTTGGGGTTTAGGGTTTAGGGTTGAGGGTTTAGGGTTTAGGGTTTAGGGTTTTGGACTTAGAGTTTGGGGTGCAGGGTTTTGGGGGGGGGGGGAAATGTAGGGTTTAGGGCATTGCACTTCCCGCGGAGTGGACAGACTGCACCGAAAGGTTTGAGATTCCAGAAGCAGAAGCCCAAAATCAGCGTCCTCAACCCTTAAATCCTAAGCCCTAAGCCTTAAGGCTATGTTTGGTTGCAAGTCTGAGGGTTTTTTGGGTTTAGGGTTCAGGTTTTAGGGTAGTTACATGGTCACTTAATATGTTCCCTTACCTTCATTGGGTTCTGAAGTGGGGCCCCTTGGGCCTTGTAGGGCATTTGAGGGGTATGCAATATACAAGGGCTCCACAATTTACGGGCCCATACTAAGTGACCATGCAACTACCCCACGACGTAAACTCTCTACACTGCACTACATCCAACCTCAAAAAGGCTTCCAGGTTCCTAGGCAACCTAAACCAAGCTCCCTGTTTGCTTGTTTCATGTCTCAACGGGTTAGAAATACGGAGCCGAACCCCAGCAAAAAGGCTGGCACAGAGGCAGAAACTAAATTCTTAAACTCTTAAACGCCCTAAACTCTAGTGCACGAAAGATGGCCCCAAACCCTAAACAAGGCGACCCTGTCGCCTTAAACAATAAGCCTGATGCTGCCCGACGCTCCTTGCGGTCGCTCCTCCATTTTATTCTGTTGCTCCAGCAGATCTCTTCCCGGTGAGCCATGAGGTCATGGCTCAGAATGAGAGACTGGTTTCACTCTTTCTGGGCGGAAATGCGACCGCATGGCCACACAAGGAAGATGTCCGAGCGCTGTCCAACGTGAAGGCATTTGTCTATGACCTGCCAGAGAACTTCCACCTCAGCAACTAGGCAGGCCCTTCGGATGTTTTGCCTGTTCCTGATTTGTGGTTAAGAGGAGTAATCCTCCCCCTGATATTAAGCCCCTCCCCCCCTAACCGCCTAATATTCAATACCCCCCTGGTTTTATATTTTCCCTTGTTTGTGTTTAAGATGATCATATTTAGGATGATCTTTTCTTTTGCTTGTGTTTAAGAGGATTATATCTGGGATTATTTTGCAGAGGGTTTAATTACCCCTAAAAACCTATGACACAACTATACTGGGAGTATTTTATATTAGGGGGTTAGGGGGCTTAACATGAGGGGGGGAGGGGATTACATCATTTTCCGGAGGGCTTTTAAGGGGCCGTCCACAGGCAACTTGCAAGACCTTCAGAGGCAGGCGGCGTCTCAAGGCTCCAATTGCGATTTCGGGGTGAGCTTGTGCAGCTCACGGTGGGCGAAGACGTTCACGCATAAGCTCGTCACTTAGGGCTATACTTTGAAAAGCTGTTTTGGGTACCTTCATTTCTAAGAAACAGACAAACAACTTAATTTTGGTTGGGGTTCCAAGTTCAGTATAGGTCTACGCATCGGAAGTGGTGTTTCTACAGAAGCTCCTCCGGGCGGTGCCGCTGACGTCGGATGCCAAGGAGGCAGATCTTTTTATCGTGCCCTGGCTGGTGAGGTCACACTGCGCGGTGCGCGAAGTATGGGATAGATGCGCCTTGCCTCTTCATTGCTTCAGGGTTTAGGCCGTTTAGGGTTTAGGGTTAGTTTAGGGTTTAGGGTTTAGGGTTTAGGGTTTAGGGTTTAGGGTTTAGGGTTTAGGGTTTAGGGTTTAGGGTTTAGGGTTTAGGGTTTAGGGTTTAGGGAATCCGGAAGGCCCTAAGGCTGTTTTTCTTGTTTCAAACCGTTTGTGAAGATCACGTGCAGACTGTTTTTTTAGAAGGAGAAACGAGGCCAACCTAGCTTCAAGGAGCTTTGTTGGTAGCTTTCTTCTAGTCAGCGCAGCCCAGACCAGGCATTATCACAGAACTTGCCCACCTGCTTTGGCACTACCTCCCGCATTTCAACGAAGCGACCCGAGGGAGACATCTGTTTTTTGCAAGTGGTGGGCCTCCGAATATACCTGCGGATGTGCAGGCGCAACCCCTGCAGGTGTCTTACTTAGCCAATAGTTGAATTTCAAACTTTGTGGCTTTCTTCCTTATTTCGTAGGCATACTAAAGCTAAAGTTTACCCTAAACCCTAAACCCTAAACCCTAAACCCTGAACCCTGAACCCTGAACCCTTTGTATCCCTTGGCTCTTGGAGAAGTCAGGTGTCTCTGGGGCCTGACTATTTCCCACCGCAGCGGCCATTCCTGGTTTCGGGGCGGCTTCCGGGTCGTTGTTAAGGACACGGTTTAGGGTTCAGGGTTCAGGGTTTAGGGTTTTGGGTTTTGGGTTTTGGGTTTTGGGTTTTGGGTTTGGGTTTTGGGGTTTGGGGCTTGCAACAGCTTGTATACGCTAAACCTTTCACTTAAACCTTACTTAGAACCTAGACCCTAAACCTTAAACCCTATACTTGCAACCATGACTGAGGATTTTGGTGCCCTACCTTAGCAACGAGCCATTCCTGCAACCTACTGCGTGGCGAGCCTGGAAGAAGCAGATGGGCACGCACAAGGATGCCAGCCGCAAGGTGTTGAAAGTTCAGGGTTTAGGGTTTAGGGTTTAGGGTTTAGGGTCTGGGGGGCCTTACTGTAGGATGTTTATTGCAGGAGTTTAGGGTTTAGGGCTTGATTTTCCGGCTTGGGATGTAGGGCACTTACAGGGCTCAGGACTTCGGGTTTGCAGTCTGGCTCCCGCTGCAGATCTTGCAATCTTAAGACCCTAAGTCTGAAGCCCCAAACTCCGAAACAACTCCTTCCTGAGCTCGCCTCCTAAACCCCAAACCCGAAACCCTAAACCCTAAACCCGAAACCCTAAACCCTAAACCCTAAACCCTAAACCCTAAACCTGAAGCTCAAGGATGTCTGGGTGTGTCTTGCCTTCTCACCGCAGAACAGCCCACGGCGACTGCCGCTTGGCCGTGGGAAGCCCCCGTTCATCCTCAAGCCACCAGGGCATCTTCGGGTTTAGGGTTTAGGGTTTAGGGTTTAGGGTCGAGTGTTTAGGGTATAGGGTTTAGGGGGTTGGTTTAGGGTTTAAGGGTTAAGGGTTAAGGGTTTCAGGGTTCAGGGTTAGGGTTTAGGGTTGGTTTAGGGTTTAGGGTTTGGGGTTAAGAATACAGAGTACACCAGAGCAGCCTACCATCAACCCCTATCTAGGGCTTCCGGGGTTTCGGGAGAGTTTAGGGTTGACAAAAACTGAACTCATTGGTGTTCAGGGCTCTGGGCTCAGGGCTCAAGGGCTCAAGGGCTCAAGGCGCTCAAGGCGCTCAAGGGCTCAAGGGCTCAAGGGCTCAAGGGCTCAAGGGCTCAAGGGCGTAGGGTTCAGGGTTTAGGGTTTAGGGTTTAGGGTTTAGGGTTTAGGGTTTAGGTTTTAGGGTTTAGGGTTTAGGGTTTAGGGTTCCAAGGCTGCTGGAAGCCTTCACGCGGGCGCGCGAAGGTGCTGGGAGCTGGCCAGGGCCCATCGAAGTCATCGGGCGCGGGCTGGGGAAAAGCTGTTTAGGGTTTAGGGTTTAGGGCTTAGAATTTAGGATTCAGACTTCGAGTGCAGGCTCCATGAGTTTTAAGAGGTGGAAGCCCAAACCCGAAACCCTAAACCCGAAAAGCCCTAAACCCCAAACCCCAAACCCCAAACCCCAAACCCCAAACCCTAAACCCTAAACCCTAAACCCTAAACCCTAAACCCTAAACCCTAAACCCTACACCCTAAACCCTAAACCCTAAACCCTAAACCCTAAACCCTACCTCAGTGTCCTCGCCCTGAGGTTCTCCAGGCAGACGACCGTCGGCACCCCTACAGATGGTGGCACATCACTCCTGGCCCTGCTACAGCTGACGCTAGGGTTTAGGGTTTAGGTTTAGGGTTTAGGGTTTAGGGTTTAGGGTTTGGGGTTTGGGGTTTGGGGTTTGGGGTTTGGGGTTTGGGGTTTGGGGTTTGGGGTTTGGGGTTTAGGACTCCCAACCTGGCCTTGTGTTCCCTCTTTGTCACTTACTGGTTGGGTCTGCCCTCAAACCTTTAAACTCTAAACCAGAAACGTGGCTTTAGGGTTTAGGGTTTGGGGTTTAGGTTTTACGGTCCCTATATAATCCCTATGGCCGTTGCTTCTGGGCTAATTGGGACCAAGGATGTCGAGAGCGCAGTTTTGCGTAGTGCCGCCTGGAGACACCTCGAGCATTGGCAAGCGCTTGTATGATGCGATTCTGACGGAGTGTATTCCGGTGGTTATATCCTTTCCAACCAAGTATGGGCTTGGAAAGTCATGGTCGACTTTTGATGGAGGACCTCTGGAGTGGAGTTTGCCCTTTGCGAATCAAGGTCTGGACTACGCAAGGCTTGCACTGGAGCTACCCGTCGAAGAATTGCGACGAGGAACTGCTGTGGAGTACCTAGCGTCTGTTTCGCACACGGTCATTGAGAGGCGCCTTGCATACCTTCGAGAAATACGAAACTTCCTGGTGTTCGACTACAGCGGCCAAACGTTGGATGCGTTCTCCTTGGCAGTTCGACAGATTCTGTCGCTGTTGCCTATTGCGCGAACACGCCCGATAACTTGTTTGGAGCTTCCCAGGACCAACGAGAGCGGTTGGGACATGGAGGACCAATATTTGTGTTTGGGTTCTTGCATGGTTAAAACCCCTCTCAAACCCTAAACCCCAAACCCCAACCCTAAACCCTAAACCGTGGGCTGCTTGGTTGGGTCTCTAGGTGTCCATAAATTTAAGAAACTTAAAAACACCCTGAACCCTAAGCTAAACCCGAAGGGGGCGGGGGGCATGCCTACAGAACCCTAGCCTTATATATATATATAGCACCATATTCACTATCAAACGTAACCCTATAGAACCCCTGCTTATCCTTTTACAGGTCTACAGAACTCTATGCGTCCCTTCCGGACTGAAAGGAGCGCAAGTGGATGGGCGAAATCAATCGGCAGGCCTGGGGACTGTACGAGTGCTACTATGCGGCTGGTCACTTGTCCGCACGCAACGCAAAGTTTCCTAACTTCGCCTACAAGGAGGCCCCTCTAGCAAGAAGTAGAGCGCCTAAGAACGAAACCCTAAACCCTAAACCTTAGGTTTCAAGTGCCCGAACCATATGTCCACAGTCACAAATCCATCCATGAGTGATACAGGGTTTAGGGTTTAGGGTTCTTTGAAGAAGCTAAGCCCTAAACCCTAAACCCGCCAATGCAAGGACCCCAGCATAGTCACTAGTCAGAGGGTCCAACGTCCTGGGTGGCTTTGGCAACCAAACAGTCCGTAGGACTTCCTGTGCGCCCTATACCCCAAACCCTCAACCCTAAACCCCAAACCCTCAACCCTGAACCCTGAACCCTAAACCCTACTATGAACCCTAAACCCTACCAACCCTGTAAACCCCGTAAGCACTACAACCCCCCTGTAAACCCTGTAATTCCTAAACCTGAATTCGCCTAAGCCCTAAACCCTAAACCCTAAACCCTAAATTCGCCCAGGTGCATCTCCTGAGCTCTCTGGGCAGCGCTCTCTCCTACGGAGGCCTCCCGTGATTTCCGAGGACCTCGCTACGGCAGATTCGTATGGGGTTTTGGGTTTTAAGGTCTGCAGGGTGTAGGGTTTAGGGTTAGGGTTTAGGGTTTCGGGTTTGGGGTTTGGGGTTTGGGGTTTGGGGTTTGGGGTTTGGGGTTTGGGGTTTGGGGTTTGGGGTTTGGGGTTTGGGGTTTGGGGTTTAGGGTTTAGTTAGGGTCCAGGTTTTCAGGTTTACAGGGTCTAGCATTCTTTGGCTTGTCTAGCTAGGAAGATCCTTGGTACATTTTGATTTTCCGATACCCTAAACCCTTCACCTTAGACCCGAAAACCCCGACCCTAAGCCCTAAACCCTAAACCCTAAACCCTAAACCCTAAACCCTAAACCCTAAACCCTAAACCCTAAACCCGAGGACGTCTCCCCCGCTGGTCCCCTCTGGTCGCCTCGGTCTCGCAAGAGAGGGCCGTCGATGCAGTGTTCCAGGCGGGCTCATTCGGGGTTCTCAGATCACAGAGCTTTTATTTTAGGGTTTAGGGTTTAGGGTTTAGGGTTTAGGGTTTAGGGTTTAGGTTCACCATAAATACGAAGCATCTCTCAACCGTAAGTCCTGAACGCTAAGCCCTAACCCTAAGACTCCAAGTCCCTAAAGCCCTCGACCTGTCAACTGCCTGAAATGCATACCTTCCTTGAACCCTCTGCCGGCAAGGTCCACGCCCTTAACAAAGGTTATTAGGTTTCAGAAGCCCTAAGCCCTAAAGTATAGGTACCTTATATCCCCTATGTACGTCGGACGTTTACGCTCCATTTGACGGGTGCTTTGTTCGATTTACAAAATTAACGTGTTTAAACTGCGGCCCTTCAGGCCGCAGTTTTAAGATCGTTTAAACATTTTAAATGTTTAAACTGTTCAGAGTGTTTAACCTGAGGCCCTTCAGGCCGCAGTCTAAACAGTTTGAGTATTTACGCTGTTTGAGGTGTTCAGACTGCGGCCCTTCATGCCGCAGTTTCAACAGTTTAAAGAGTTCATTCAAGTTCTGTAATTGTGTGTTAACTGTTTAAAAGTGTGTAAGCTGCAAATTCTTCGAAAACCCCCAAGCTCCGGGTGTTGAAGTGTTTAAAGTCTTCCGACAGCGTCTTGAGGGGCCGCAGTTAAAACACTTTGCACAGTTTAGATATTGATTGGGTTTTAGGGTTTAGGGTTTAGGGTTTAGGGTTTAGGGTTTAGGGTTTAGGGTTTAGTTTTTTTGTTTTTGAAAATTTGCATTGTAAGCACTTGAAACAGTTTAAACTGTTACCAAATTGCTTGCTTCTGAATGGTGGCACAGCAATGGCACAGTTCCAGCGCCTGCCTTTTCCCTTTTGCCTCTTTTTTTTCTGACAATGGTGGAAGTGGAGAGGGTCATGCAGAAAAGCAAGAGAAAGAAAAAAGGTTTAGGGTTTAGGGTTTAGGGTTTAGGGTTTAGGGTTTAGGGTTTAGGGTTTAGGGTTTAGGGTACAAAAGGCGTTCATTCCCCGGCCTAGGTCCAGCCAAATAGGGTTTCGGCCTTAGGATTTGGAATTGGAGGTTTAAAAATTAAGTGCTTTCACGAAGTCTGGAGCTAGCAAAATGTCCCGTCAAATAAAACATAAGGTCCAGCCCACATCACCCTTTCTATACCCTTTAAGGGGGGTTACCAGGTATTCTCATTCCTTACTAAGAACCAGTAAGTATACCCTCTTAACCCTACGCCCAAAACCCCAAACTCCAAACTCGCAGGTGGAGTGATGCGCCCAACGCGGTCCGCAGGTGCTCTTTGCTCGAGCCGGAGGCGCGAGAGACCAGCAGGCACGTGTTTAGGGTTTAGGGTTTAGGGTTTAGCGTTTTGGGGTTTAGGGTTTTGGGGCATGGGTGTAGGGTCCAGCGTTTCTAGGTTGGGATGCTCCCCCTTACACTAACAGTCCTTAATAGGGATTATAGTACTAGAACCCCCCCCCCCCCCCTTATAAGGACTGTTAATATACGGGGGAACATCCCAACTTATAGGGCTTTGGGGCTTATTCGCTTACCCTAGGGCTCCAAGTATGCAAATAATACCTACATTGGGATCTGGAGTCTGTAAATATTACCTACACCCTAAACCCTAAACCCTAAACCCTAAACCCTAAACCCTAAACCCTAAACCCTTGGAGCCTTAGGCTTAGGAGGAGTTTGTGCGGGAAGCCTCTCAAGTCCCCCCCCCCCCCCCCCCCCCCCCCCCCCCCCTCGAGCAGCCCAAACCGAAGTCAAGTCTTTAGGGCTTAGGGCTTAGGGCTTAGGGTTTAGGGTTTAGGGTTTAGGGTTTAGGGTTTAGGGTTTAGGGTTTAGGGTTTAGGGTTTAGGTTTTCGAGGTCAAGATGAAGTTTTGGGGTTTAGGGTTTTGAGGGTTGAGGGAGAGCAAGATGATGTTCGCACTACGTTTGCGCAGCTCTACCAACCCTGACCCTCAACCCTCAACCCTCAACCCTAAACCCTAAACCCTAAACCCCAAGGGCAAAAGGACGATGCCTGCCCATACGCTTAGCCTGCACCATGGCTGCCGGTGACATCTCTGCATCCATCGGCGAGTTGGCGGCCAGACGGCAGCTGAGGGTCTAGGGTTTAGGCTTTAGGGTTTAGGGTTTAGGGTTTAGGGCAGGGATTAGAGTTTCGGGGGGCTTAGTGTTTTCGTCTTAGGGGATCGGAGTTCTAGGGTTTAGGAAAGCACACATTATCCTCTTGGAAGCTTCTGGGCAGGTGTGCTTGTGACAGTTATGATCAGCAAGCTTTCCGACCTTTCGTGCTGGATGGCCGAGGTACTGCTGGCCCAATGCACCAAGTCTGCCAACATCGAGGAGCAACTCCGGTCATTGCTCGGAAGCGCGAGGAATACATCACGGTGGAGCTTCACAGCCTACAGCGCTGCTTGCAGAGGGCCGGGAGGCCGCATCTTCCCTCCAAAGAACATACCCTTCATGTTCTTTACGCACATACTGCAGAACTACGAGCTGCGGTCGGGGCTGGTGGCCTTTGTGCTACCCAGCTTTACATCCACGTTCTATCATGACGTGATGCCTGAAGCGACTCTGGACGACCAGGGGTTGCAAGTCGTCGTGGGAGGAGTGTCCAGGCCCTGCTGGATGTTTCAGCAGAATCAAACCGACAAGCCAAGTGTAACTCTGTGGTGCTTTACTGTAACTTTAGATCCTTCGCCTTTTTGAGGTTAGTGGGAGTTTCTAAAGAAGGCAGCTACAACTGCTAAGCTGAATTAGCTACCCTGCTAAGTGCAGCCAAGGTAAGTCTGTGCCACTTGTACCAAAAGATCTTCGAGCGAATCTGTGGTGGCGAGGATGCTTCAGTGATGCTGAATGTCAGGCCTTGGAAGCCCGGCGGTGTCCTTTTGCCCCCTTTTTTGGGTTTCTGGGCTCCCTTAAAAAGTCACCTGGTGGCCCAGTGGTATCCTTTTGCCCCCCCCCGCCCCCTCTTTTGGGTTTCCGGGCTCCCTTAAAAAGTAACCAGCCCCAAAAGGGGTGCCCTCACTACGATATGGGAGTTTACGAAAATACGGGGCTCCTGGAAGAGATCGCCAAATGGTAGGATTCCCTTATAATTAGGACCCCAAAAGGGACTATAATTGGAGAACTACCCATATGGTTGCTAGGCTACCAAAAGGCTTTATATTCATCTCTAAACCCTAAACCCTAAACCTTAAACGCTAAACCCTACAAAGAGGCCAACAGCCATTTTGACAAGCTGGGCCGTGATACGCCGTGTTCCAAAGCATCGCTTTGAGCTGGCCCTGCTTCTAGCCAGGTGGGGAGAGTTCCGCGACCCTAAACCCTAAACCCCAAACCCCAAACCCTAAACCCTAAACCCTAAGCCCTAAGCCCTAAGCCAGGTGGGGCGTCCGCGACATGCACGACGTCATGGGCCTCTTGGCCGTCCTGCTTCTGCAAGCCGTCATGCCTCCTGGCCTCGTTCGCGAGGCTCTCCGGGCAGGCTCCAACCCAGGCCTCAGGGACCACGAGCACCTAGAGCCTCAGCAGCTGAGTGGGCAGACTTTACACCTTTTGTGGGATACCAGAATCTCCTGTAGAACTGAAACTTTTTGTGATACCGTTTTGTATAATCTCCTGTAGAACTGAAAGCGTACTCTTTTTTGGTGGGCTTATGACTCAGCAACTAAGGAGCTTCTATCGTACAGCAATGTAGCGGGTGAAAGGCAAGTTCGTGAGACGCGAGACGAAGAAGATGAAAGAGAGCGGCATCTGTGCTGCTAGGCGCCAGGCCCTTTGTTTTCAACCTTTTGGGGAAACCCTAAACCCTAAAACCCCAAACCCTAAACCCTAAACCCTAAACCCTAACCCTAAACCCTAAACCCTAAACCCTAAACCCTAAACCCCAAACCCTAAACCCTAAACCCTAAACCCTAAACCCTTCTAAGGGGAGCCCGAGAGTTTGCTTTATAACGCGAATCATCGGCCGAACAGCAAGGGTTTTGGGTTGAAGTGGGGTAAGGGTGGGGTCAGAATCAAGGGCCTTTTTCAGAGGTCTCTATATTGTCGTAGAAGTCCACCCCCAAAAACAAGCTCTAAACGCTCACATCCCTAAAGCCCTGAATACCTAAACCTCAAAACGAGCAGTGCTCACCACTTCGATCCCGCCGAAACCCCTAAACCCGATACCCTTGACCCTAGATTCCGAACCTAAGCCCGAAACCCTACACCCTAAACCCTAAGCCCTAAACCCTAAACCCCGTGTCTTTTGAAGCTGCGCGCTGGAGGGTGATGGTGAGAGGGGCTTATGGTCTTTGAGCACAGGTTTAGGGTTTAGGGTTTGTGGGCTTCACGAGCTTAGGGGCCAGGATGTAGGGTTGAGTAGTTAAGGACGTAGGACGTAGGGTTTTGCTAGTTTCCCTAAACCCAGAACCCAGAACCCTGAACCCTAAACCCTAAACCCTAAACCCTAAACCCTAAACATTACAGTTACACCCGGTGTAGCAGTTTAGGGCTTAGGATTTTGGCGGCCTCAGGAGCTTTAGGGTCCAGGCTGGAGGGGCTTAGTGGCTTGGGGTTTAGGGTATAGGGTTTGGTGTTTAGGGTTTAGGGTTTGGGGTTTAGGGTTTAGGGTTTAGGTTATCATGTTGTTTTGGGTGTAGGATGTACGGCTTAGGGTTTCTGAGCTTCGGGTTTGGGATGTAGTTGGGGTTTAGGGTTTACAAGTTCTGGATTTGAGGGCATACTAGTTGAGGACTTCGACGTAGTAGTTCCCGTCTTCCGGTGGGTCGTTCCAGTGGATGAGAGACCCGTTACTACTGATTTATCTTTACTTTTGCCGAAGCCCTGAACCCTAAACCCTTAACCTTCTTGAGGGAGTGGATCAACATCGCCCAAATGTGCAAGATCAGATTCGGTTCCTGACAAGCTGTGCTGGTTGCGGTTTAGGGTTTCGGCTTTAGGGTTTGGGGTTGTGGTTTTCGGGTTTAGGGGTTAAGGTTTACGGTTTAGTGTGTGTCCATCTTTTGAAGAGGACACAAAATATATATACATAAGACATATACATACATATATATATATATATGTATATATGTATATGAATATGGGTATCTGTATATATGCATATGTTCCTAGTAGGTTCCTAGCAGCAATAGCACAATACTGAGAGAAGTTGTATATTCATCGCCAATCAATAAGGCAAAAGAGCCTTGATTTGGATAGGGATAGTATAGGATCCCGGAAGTAAGGTCATCGTAATTCGTCCTGCATGCGCTTTGCGCCAGAGCATTGGCTCAGAGCGACTTTCGACCACTCAGTTCCTCAAGACATCCGACGGAAAGGCTTCTGGCTTAGCACAGGATTTTCGGTTTAGGGCGTAGGCGTGGGCTGCGGGGTCTAACTGTTGGAGTTCCCAGGCTTCTGGGACACATCTGTTCAAGCATCCCAATCAGAATGTTACGGAAGGTACGTAGCCTTAGGTCTATGGCATAGGCTAGAACCTAGAGTTTATGAGGTTCAGGTCTCAAGTCTACTTCGGGCTTTTTGCAAGGTTTCAAAGTTTTGCGGTTGTTCTTTTCCGGCGGCCACGGGACGCCTGCCGACGACCTTCTTCAGGCGTGGCCGGAGCTTGGGACGTCAGGGCCACGCGTCTCAATCTGCCTGTAAATCACAAACCCGAAGCCGAAGCCCTCTGAACCCTAAACCCTCTAAACCCTCTAAACCCTCTAAATCCTCTCAACCCTCGAAACCCTAGAGTTCAACCGGCCTCAGGGTTTAGGAACAGGATATAGGAGTTTGGGGGCTCAACACCCCAGGTGCTTCCCCATTAAGGACCCGATAAACGGCCAGGGCCCTCGGACCCTAGGAGTTGTTTATATGGACACTTGGGTTTAGCACTGTTTGGCTTTTCTGGCTTAGAAGGACCTTGGTAGATTTGATGTTCTTGCCTGAGGTCTCCCCGGTTTAGGGCACCGGCTTTGACGCTCTAAATGGGTTTAGGGGTTTAGGGTCTAGAAGCGTATTTATCATTTTTGATAAATATATTATCGGTATTTGTATTGTTTTTATCAATATTATTCTTAAAAAGAAGTCCTCAGCATATTACTTAGAAAATTATCAACTACAATTATTTTAGTGACACCTAGTTTTGTCAGTTCATTAATGGCATTGAATATAACTTGAGATGCTTTCGAAATTTAGAAAAAATAAAGGAATAGCAAAAAATATGTATGTATATATATATATATGTATATATCTGGTTAAAGCTACACGAAAGCTTAACCTAAATAGTTAGTAACTTTATAAAGTTTCTAGCATCAAGTAATAACTTAGCTAATACGAATATGATCAAAAACCGGGGAGGGGGGGTGCATCGACACAGGACACTCAACCACGTCCTCCCTATCTGTGGGTTTACCAAAGCCCTGCAGGGTCCTAAACCCTAAACCCTAAACCCTAAACCCTAGACCCTAAACCCTAAACCCTAAACCCTAAAACCCTAAAACCCTAAAACCCTAAACCCTACAGACCCTACAGACCCTACCTGGCTCTGCCAGGCTTCTGGAGAGCAAACCCTTGGAGACGGCGACGGGATGTCGGACTTTGAAAGGCTCTGGGTGCTCCGGTTTAGGCTTGGGGGCTGGGGTTTAGGGTTTAGGGTTTAGGATTTAGGGGTTATTGTTTAGGGTTTAGGGACCAGGGATATGGGTTTAGGCTAGGGTTCCCTTGTGTTAGGATTTTAGGTTCCCTTATTAGCCCCTTTAAACAAAAAATGGCAATCTCTTTATTCCTAGTAACCGTCTTGGGTCGAGTATAGGGTTTCGTGGGATGTAGGGTTTAGTGGTACAGAGGGTGTAGCAGTTGCTTGGTTTTTGCAGGTTTCAAGAAGGTCCTACAAAACTAACCTCAGCCCTGACTCTGAAGCCCCATGCAATCCCTAAAGCCCATAAGCCCTTACACTTTCATGCGAGCCTGAGCCTGAAACTCTAAACCTAAACCCTAAGCCCGAAACCCCAAACCCTAAACCCGAAACCCTAAACCCCAAACCCTAATTGAACCCCAAACCGGCCGCCCTAATTCAGCACTAAATCCTAAACTCTTCAAACGCAAGGAGTTCTAGGGCTTTCAAGTCTTTCAAGGCTTGAGGTTCCTCTAGCCTTGTCTGAAGCCCTTGCCATCAGCAGGGAAAAAGGTCATACACCTCCGGTGTAGGATTCATACGGTAACCCGGTTAAGAGGGTTTAGGGTTTAGGGTTTAGGGTTTAGGGTTTAGGACTAAACTCGCCTTGAACTGCAAAGTCCACTCAGGGGCTTCTGTGCCCGCCCGCCGGGAGCTGCCCGCTATTTCGGGCACAGGGTTCGGTTCCCAACACATCCTGCAACAACGGACTGCGACCTCGACCAAACACTGTCAATGGGTCGAAACTTCACCTTTAACTTAGGATGCTCCTTCCCTTTATGGTGCATAACAGTCCCTTGTCAGCATTCTAGCAAGGGTACTATGAACGATTTGACGCTTATAACTGGTCGTAAAAAACTTTGCTACCATACTGTTGCTGCCACTACCATGGCGACTGCTATCACTATTCTTGCGGTAATTGCTGCATCTGCTATAGTTACTTGATATACTGTACCAACTGTGGGAGCTGTTGTACGGGCAGTTCTCGACAAAAACTGTGTTTCCTGGTACCCCCAAGGGCTCCAGAGACAAGAGGGAGCAGCCAGCCGTAACACCTAAAACCTGACGTTGCTTGCTCCCCGGATCCTTGAAACACCAGGCAAGGATAGAAGCTCCTATAGACCCTAAACCCCAAACCCCAAACCCCAAACCCTAAACCCTCAACCCTATGCCCCTAGCCTGTCGGGTTGAGGGCAACCCCTGAGGTTCAAGCGTCAAAGGTCAGAACCCCGAGATCTGAGCGTCCGTAAATCCTAGGCCTCACACTTACATTGCCGAACTCACACAACTTCAAACCCTAAACCCTAAACCCTAGACCCTAAACCCTAAACCCTAAACCCTAAAACAACCCAGGAGGCCAGAATAAGAGGCACAGAGCCCGAAGCCCTGGAAACACGAAGCCCTTCTTCTCCCGCGGCCATTGCATGGGCAAATCAGGCAAATGTAGTGGCACTTTGCCCAGGTTCATCCAGCATCATTTTAGGGCTCCAGGGCTTCAAGCCGCCAGGCACAACCCTTCTAGAGGCCAAGGCTTGTTTTTTGGTTCCAATGTTCTTTGTTCGAAAGCAGCATCATGAGTGGATATCGTGCTCGTCATGATACCTGACTGTTCTAGATAGGTCGGTCTCAACATCCTAGGTTTTTGGAGAGGTTATAGGGCTTCGTGTATAGGGTGCAGGATTTACGGCTAAGGGTAAACCCGAAACACTCAACCCGAATCCCTACTCCCGGGGCTTGCTTTCTTTGATCCTTAAGGGGGGCCGCGCTCGTCTCACCTTGTTCTGCCATGATTAGTCGGTGAATGGCCTTGGGCCAAGCAGGGCTTCTTTAGATTTTCCTGTCACTGCTGCTCTACACCCTAAACCCTGAACCCTAAACCCCAAACCCCAATTCCTAAACCCCAAACCCCAATTCCTAAACCCTAAACCCTAAAAGCTAAGCACGGAATCCCAAAACCATAAACCCGAACCTGGACCCTGCCCGAAGCCCTAAACTTTGGGTTTAAGGGTTTAGGGTTTAAGGTTTAGGGTTCCGGAAGGCACCCTAACCCCTAAACCCTGAAAAGTTCATAGATTGGGACCGACGTTCTTGAAGTTTCGGATACGAC